TCGTTTAAATGATTAAAACAATAAATAGTAACTGCACTAACAAGAGAATCGTCGGAATTGCCCTCACTAATTTTAATGGGTTTAGGATATGTCGTAGAGCATTAAAAAATATTACATCTGTTTTCAATCTGCTTATTTCAAGGTTTAAAGGTTTTGAAACAATCCCTCGAAAAAAATGTATTTTTTTATTTTCAACGAATATCTCCGAAACTACGAGATACATGAAAAAATGTTTTATACAAAAGTTTTATGCTATTTTGTACTCTTAATAATGGTGTATTCACGTTTTTTGAAAATATCAAATTTTTTAAATTTACCTCCAAAAATTGTTTTGACTAAACCTTGAAATTAAAAAAATATAGATAGATAAAAAAATATAGGACTAGTACTTTTTTTTACGCTTTACAACCAATGTTCAAAGCCCATTACAATTAATAAGGGTCAGTTTCGACGACTCCCTCGTAAGTTATCACAAAATTTTAAGAAATGTTATCTGTATTGTTACAAAATATAATAATGTTTTTTATAAGTGGAAAAAGTAATATCACAAAATATTGTTTTAAATTTATACATATTCGAAACGGAAGAGATCTACAATATCAATTCTAACAAGTTCTAATAAAGTTTCATAATGAGAAAATAAATAATCGATTCTTGAGTCATGTCACAGGAATGCCAAAGATAGTATGATAGATATATTTCTGGTTTATGAATATCGCAGCAACGAGAATTATATAGTATGCACAGGAATATTAGGCCACGTTCTACGAAACTATGCTAACTAAGACCGGATTAGCTATGCAAATCACTGAACTACACGAGAGTTCCCACTTTTCGCCTACGTCGATGTATAATTATCGTGTAGAAACGCATGCTTGACGAATATATTCCCCGCTATGATTTTAATGAAATATAAATTTATATCTTGCATAGGTACTTTCTTTTTTAACGAAATATATAAATATGTATTAAAAATATATAAATATAGATTAGTTATTATATTAGATGTAAATCTGATAATGTTACATAATTCTTACTTAGGAATAAATCACGTCTTTGATAAATCAAAGATTATACGTTGCGTTTGACGAGCGTCTTCATATTAAAAATATGGAGCCTTACTTCGTAAAAAAGCTTTGAGAAAAAGTTTTTTAATCGAAAAGATTGAAATATTTTTAAATTTACCAAACTAATGATGTACTTCAATATTGCTGTTCATTCATATTTAAATAAACTTAACGTATAGAGTATCATAATTATTTCATTGCTTGACTTTCTAACATATATATGTACATAATTATATCTATCTACCTTAGATCTACTTTATATCTTGTTTTTACTTTTACTCGCGAGTTATGTAATAGTATAGCAAAGTATAAGATGAAGAACACTTTGATGCTTGCAATGTTATTAGAGATTCTGGCTACCTGTTTCGCTCCTCTTTCATTATCTTTGGATTATTTTAACCGACTTTAATCGGGCTACTTGTGTTTTTAATGCGCGATTTAACAGCTTGGCGATTTAATAGCTCAGCTATAAAAGACTGTTTCTTCTACAAATTAGAAATTACGACTAAAAGAATTATTGCGTAGATTTTATTTGTTCCAAAATTATGTAACAATTAAGAAAAATCGGAATTATATAAAGAAATATAATATATAAATAACAATAATAAATATATGGAATAATAATAAAATACCAAGATACGATACAAGGAATAACAATGATATAACACGTGAAACAGCAATATTTTCATGCGTACTTTTATCCGGACAAAATACATAAAAATTCCCTTTTTCGTAGAAATACTATCTCAGAAAATAGGTCGCATTTCAAAAGGCGCGAATTGTAAATGACATTCATCTCAAAAACCGCTTCGCTCGGAATTTGCGTGACTCGAGAAATCATACAGACACTTCACAACGGAATTTCGTTCTGTTCCGATCCCGTGACTTTTATCCTGTATCTAGTAAAGAAACACGGCATCCGGCTCGTCGACTCCTGTATCTTCAGGCCGCATTCTTCGAGGGCGGTTCGCCAAGTGCGAAACGAGATTGTCGGTATTTGTTTCGTCTATAGAAGATGTCTATAGAAGCATCGTTGCTGGCACTAACACTTTTCATAGAACGAGATGATGAGAAGCGATATCGCGTGCAAAAGGTAGAATCGAATCGTCCGGAAAAACACGAAATAGCTTTACCCTGTGGTCGATAAGATGCTTTCTTAAAAGCGCAGGATTTACCTTCAATAGCTGCGCTCGATGACTCAATTAGTTTTTTCTTGTGGAAAATAAGAGTACATGAAGACAAAGAAAACAAGACAATAATATATAAACTATTTGGATGAATACGCGAATTTCCGTTGGATAAGATTTACAATTTTAAAATCTATTAAAATTTATTTCGTTAACAAAAGAAAAAGATCATAGATGTTTCAACCAAGATTTGGCTATCTACAGTATGTAAAAATTTAATCTGATGTCAATTATAAAATTTGGTGTCAATATAAACGCAAAATAACACAAAAACACTTAGAAATTATTAAATTCGTAATTGTCAATATAAAAATGAGTCATAAATTTTAACGTCGATATTTAAAATTTGATAACAAATAAATAAATTAAATCAGAAATAAGAATCAAATGCGAATAAGTAAATCCGTATTATAAAATATTTCTTCTTTTAATAGAATATCTTGAAATTTGTTTGTTAATTATTATAAGTATTTGAACTTTCTTTTATTCTGAATTGCTATGTAGGGACAAAATTTTCAGATTATAATAACATCAAGAAATTAGTATTTTAATTAACACTGTTTTGTGTTTGCAAATAAATTTTTTTATTTATTCTAACGTACCTGTGTTGCTATTAGTAATTCTTGAAGTCGTTAATATGTAATCGTTATGTTACTCAGGACAGAAATTTATTTTCTGAGGCCGACATTGACAATATTCTTGACGTACAATTCTATTATTAAGGTATAGGAAAAGGGATGGTAAAATTTATTAACAAAATAAGTTTTGATAAATGACTTTCGCTATGTAGATCCTGTGTATGGCTATTTACTCCTCTTTTTAATTGTTTACATCTAAGAAACTGTTTACATACATAAAAGGAGTTCAGTATAAGACTTTTCTATAACGGCAGGAATTGAATTAACGCGGTAATTAGCAGCATCTTTTTACTCGCGCAAACAATTATAATAATGATTTATGCACGGCAAGTCCGCAAATCACCGTACTGAACCACGTGCCGTTATTAATTATCTGGCTTTGCACTCCATCAGCAGCTAATCAATCGAGGTCAGTGACTAATCGGCACGAGTACGACAGCTGACAGGCAACCAAATCATTCGAGCTTGCTGCATACCAGACTTTGAGGGTAGTATCAAAACGAGACTTGTCATCTTATTCGTAAACCTTCTGGGAAATCTTGGAAAACTTTTTCCTCCATTTTTCTTGGTATAGTCGTATTTCTGCCTCATTTACTATAACTATTAGGTCAACCTACGAGTTTGCTTCGTCCGCGCGTACGATATACCTGCCATGAATCACAATGATGTCCAACGTAAATGTAGTAAAAGCTTAGATAAGAATACAATAAATTGTCACTATATCTTACGAATTGACGTGACGTGATGGAAAGTCTAATGAATAAAATAATAAAAATTTCCGCTAATGTTTAGGAAAATTGAAATAAGAGGAAGAAAAATATGGGTGAAGCGTAGTTTGAAAAGTCGATAACAGAAAGAAATAGATCGTTTTAATTGGTATATATTAAAACGTCATTAATATACACTGTCACGTTCTTCTTCTAATTCTTCGACTTTATCTCGTGACTGGAACGATCTTCTTGAAAGAATACGGTCGAAAATAACACGGAACGACCTATTACGGCCACGTTAGTCGGATCGATCCTGTCCTTTTCATTTCCGCTTCACCAAAGAAAGGAAAGACTACAGATTCAAAGTGAGAGGCACGAATACTTCGAAGCTCCTAAATCGCTTCGGTCACGCAAACTCACAGGGAAAGTTCGGAAAATGTTCTTGAAAACTACGGGAAGAGTATTAGCAGACGTAGTGCCATCATATCCGGTGTGTCCAACTAAATGCGTTGTCTGTTATAATAGAACAATTACTGTTCACGTAATTTCAAAAGTATATTGTGATAAATTGAAATTGTATGTAGATTTCTTCAGAATTAAAATTTTTCAAAAATTATTACTACTTTCAGATTTTTCCATTAAAAGACTTATTGGAAACTTTAACGTCTATTTTAGTAGTAGTGCGTTATTTTTCTACCGTACAAAAGTTAAAAACTCAATTTTAAAAACTTATTTTAAAATTATAGCAAGAATCAAAGAAATCAAACAAACACACACAGCAAAAGATGCTAAAAATAATTTATCGAATTTTTGCTTGTGCGAACAGCACGTCTATAATGTGACTTCCCAAAGGCGTATTTTATAGAAGCAAAAGGACGAAACTCGTCTGGCGAAATAACACATTCGTAAGTTCCCCAGACGAGAATTAAATTGAAATGCTGTAGTGTTTACTTGACATATACGATGTAGTATAAAATATTTGCACGAAAAGCGAAGGTCGACACTTACTGTTTGAAAAATCAATAGTGTCAACATCGTTTTAGAGAGAATGCAGTGATTCAAGCATGATTTTTAAATATACATATGTCGACATCCGTGTTCTTTTCAGTGATTGCGTAAAATGTTCAATTTATCTTAAAGATTTTTTAGTCAATTCACTTATTAAATTGTAATTATAATTTATGAAAGAAGTTTTTCCAAATAAAACAGTTACGAAGGCAGCCGAATATAAAATTTCCAATATATTTTATAAAGCGCGTTTCCAGTTTACATTATGTAGACTAAAACTTTTTAAATAAAGTGCGGTATGCGTCATTTTAAATACTGTTTTGATAACTGACAAAGAAATTTCTTGTAACTTTTTTTATATGATTTTACATAATTTTTATTTAATTACAGGAATGGAACGATGTAAACATGAGATGGAACGTTTCGGACTATGGAGGTGTACGAGACCTCAGAATACCGCCGAGTCGGTTATGGAAACCCGACGTTCTTATGTATAACAGGTAAATGTAAAATTACATTATGTTTATTAAAATTTCCTACGTACACATTTATATTTTTCATATTCTACCGCATCATGTAGCAAATATATTTTTTAAGTAAAGAATGATATACTTAAAATAAGATTCAATACGAATTAATTTTTCGTGTTTCAAAATTATTTTAATATTAAGTAATAGTTTATGAATTTATGCTAAACTTAGAAATCGGAAATGAATCAGGAACTCAAACATACATATTCTATGGCTGTGTTCCAAAATTCACTGCTAGCGCTGAAAATTTATAGTTTATGTAAGTTACGTGCACTATAGATTTCCAGCACTGGCAGTGAATTTTGAAACATAGTGTATGACGTCTATGTATTAAAAAAAACTTCATCATCTGTTTTCAATTCTCAAGGAAACATTATTCTTTCAACATTATTCTCAAGCAAAACTAAATTAACAATATTTCTAATAAATTATAATACCTTATTGTAATTTTCAACTGTATTTTACATATTTATGATATATGATGTTATATGATTTATATTTATGATATCTGACCTTTAAGTCACTTTTGCTTTCACCAACGCTTCCGAAGAAATTACGTAACAAAGAAATTTTCTCGATTGGCTAACAAATTGAAAAGCGTCACTAATCGTAATAAATCTGCTATCTTACAGCTGTACATTAGTTTATGTTTATACAATGGCATTTGACCTATAAAAATACAGATTGAATTCAATCATCATCCATTTAACATCGTGATATTTTAAAACTAACCAAAAAAAAAAATGTTCTCTCTGAACGGATGGCAAAGCCATGAAACGTTCCGATAAATTTAACATTTATCTTGCATATTGGTGTTTACTGAATGTAGTTTAAAACGAGGATCAACTCGCTCAACTCACATACTTTTTTAATTGACGAAATCACAAGAACGTAAACATATAAAATATTCAATGCAATTAATGTTTTTTCAAAACAGAAAATACCGGAAACAATTTTTTAATAATGCAATTAAAACATTTATTTAAATATACATATTTATGTGTTTTATAATTATTATAATATTTAATGTAAGAATTATGTATGTATTATAATGCACAACATGCAAGATATTATATCATAAAAAAAATTATAAAAAAACAAAAGGTATCGAAGAAAAAGATCTATAAACGTATATTTAGTTGCTTTTGTTTTTAATTAATGATAATTCAGTATATAATAAAAAATTACGCGTAGAAAAAATAGAATGTAGATAAAAAAGTAAGTGACAATAAAATATCAAGTTAAAAAAATTAGGTTTTTATTTAAATGCAATTTGATCATTTAGATTACATTACATTGATAAAGGTTACAGTAATAATTTTATCGATGTCATCTGGGAATATTAAAATACCACCAATCCTATAATGGTAATAATGACGTGCTTTATGTATTTTTTACGGACCCCTCTACTTTTAATAAAGCACATTGTCGGCGTGAGCTATTGTTCGTGTAAATTCCATGTACATGCTTACGCTATTAATATGCCGAAATCGCACGTATCGATTATGCAAGCGTGTTTCACATAGTTGCCCTTGCACGGTTGTAACCACATAATATAACGCTAAACTGCGGGATCGAGGCGCGGAGTAATAATATACGACCGCGATGCGTCATCAGTTAATCGATTAATTAATCTATGCTAATTTGCTTAAAAATTTGGGCTTTCAACTCACCGCGATACTTAATTTAAAATAACAATTAAGGCAATTGTTCTAGAAAATGAGAGAGAATCAAAAAGCTTTATTATTATTTTCCATCTTTTAAAATACACTATTTATTTAATAACATTATCTCACGTAATACAGATAGTTACTTGAATAGGTACTATTTATATATTTGAGAAAATGTTCTTTCTTAATTCCTGTTATATCTGGCTGTCACAATTCAGTATATATTTTTCAATTAACGTATCAAAACATGCCATACGTTAATTAATTGAGCATGAAAGGTTGATTACACGTTAGCAACGTCATTATCGCTGTAATCATTTTTCATTATTTTGTATGCAATCTAGTCGTGAGAACGGCGTGCAATAGTGTGCGTGCATGCGTGAGAAAGTTTATAAACGCACCGTGCAACGTCTCTCACATAGTTGCGTACATGTATTGCACCAGCGTCAACGTGCGACCATATTATGTATCGCAGGTCATCGGGTCAGTTACAAAGACGGTTTACGCTTGAAGTGAATCGCAAATTGATCGATAAAACGTCGTTGAATTATTTTAGAGCGAGCCTCGACGCGTTTCCTCGCAATACGAATTTACTTGCGCCGCGAATTATTTACTCGCGGGGTGAGAATTTACGTTATTTAATTTGCGCTCTTTGCGCTCACTGACAAATAAAGTAAATTTTCATTTTTAAAAAATTTCATTTAACAAACAGAGAACGCAGAAAGTACGAAATATAATCATTTCATTATTTATACTTGACTACTGTAATCAGAATTTTGCACGTTTAAATTGCAAATGGCTCGACATTGTTCACATTTTTTTGTTCATTAAACTCTCTGATTGTTACGCTCTGGACGAGGAAGTTATTAATACAAATACTTAATTTATACGGAATATAAATTGCAAACAGCTCGACGTTGTATGCGTTTTTTGATCGTTAAACTCTTTGATTGTACACGCTTTAAACAGGGGAGAAGAAGAGAGTTGTTAAAGTAAATACTTAATTTACACAGAAAAAAATTTCTACGGAATTCTAGGAATTACACCTTTTTTCGAATTACACAAAATTTTGTTAAAATATTCGCAATCGTTCAATTTTGTAAACTAAATTGCTCTAATAAAAAGTTTCTTTTTAACTGACCGTAACTATTTTTCATAATTTTTAGTTGCAGTTATTTCAGTTAATTATAGCCGTAATCCCGCTTCCGCGAAAATTTGTTTCAAACTAAAACCCGAGAAGCGTTAAAAGTTTGGTTATTTATTTGTGGTAACCTAATTCGCCAAAACCATACAAGTTTGACGTGAGATGCACCTTCGGTTAGAGCAGACGTCGCGTGTACATACATATATGTGAACTCTTTTTATATACTTGCCGCAAGTGTGTTTTGTCGGGCATGCACCCGCTCATAATCGCTCTCCATCGCGTAGACGATGCCTTTATGCGATGCATCCAACGTTATTATGATGTGGTACAGACCACGTAATATATAACGCAGCCAGGAAGAGGGGGCATCGCGGGGGGTCAGTAGCAAAGATGGTGCACACCTAAGGACTGATCGATCACTTAACTGCTTTGTCGCTTCGTCACGGCGCAATTCTCCCGTGCTCCACTTTTCATCCAGCTCCGTGCAGGTATTCACGTGCGCGTCGCCGAGATGATTTTTATCGCGCACATTCTGCACATAGGATGTTCCAGGCCAATCACCGTTTTTCTCAGTTTGATTTCCAGCATGAGTCCAGCGTGGGTCTTATAAAGCAGCACAAGCGATTACGCCCTGGTTCGTATATTTGTACTGGCTGACTGAAAAGCGGAACTCAACAGCGACTGGAAAAGCGATGGAAGGAGGGACGTAGTGAAACGTTTCGTGCATTTTTCATCACGACGCAATATCGATGTAGTCGAAAGGCGAATCTCATTTACAACATGTAGTAAAATAGTTAACGACTTGGAGTAACATCGAGCCGTTAAAAGACACTCGTATTACCACCATACGGCGTTTCGCACGGCGCAAACTTGTCGTCGTATTTCGAGCGTGACTGAGACGTTGCTAATTAGTAAACAGTCTTTACTGACAGAGTCGTCGCATTTCAAGTCTCTAAAAGTACGGCAATTCCAAAGAATGATTTGCGCAAACGTTCTAATTGAACGCTAACTCGGGCAGAGCGCTCGATATATTTTTTCGCGTTTTCTCATTAATTTACAGTTATATATCGCTAACTGTAAACGCCATGATTTATTATCCAATATAACCGTAAATAATGCCAGCAGAACCGGTTTGTCTCATCGTTTCGAATGATTTATCCGGGATGATCATCACGAATGCACTACGTAAATTCGTTTTAAGCTATCGGAAATAGGTGCAACGTGCAACGGGTAAAATGGAACGTCTGGCCAACTGGGTCACGCGCATTAAAAACAAAGCTACCGCCACTATTTAAAGAGAATCAGGGAAAGTATCTCCGTCTGACGGTAATACATTGTCGGAAAACGCTTGCGGCCACGCCATTGTCTTTAAGTAGGTAATGCATCGGGTGTCCGCTGCATCGTCGTCGTATTTGTCGAATTAAAACTTCGCCTTGCGATGCATTAGCAGAAACGAATAGTCGACGAACTTGCCGGCGAAGTGAAACGTTTAATGGACCGATCTCTGGGGGCGGTTACCGTGCAAGAACTTCGTTCGGCGATTTGCGACTCTGATTGCTCAGCTTTCGTTTTTGTCGAATTAATAGCGCAAAGTAAGACGAATTCAACGATAAAAGTATCTTTCCTCTTCGGCATATTAAATGAATTCACGTGATTTTAGAATCTGTTATCAAAAGACAGATAGTACACGGAAAGAATTTTCTCTTAAAATTTTCATTGAAAATATGGTAGTTGTTGCACAGTATAATATGTATATTAAAGATTTTTACCATGCATTTCAGATTGAAAAAATTAATCAAACTTATTTTATATATTTTATTGTAGTTTTATTAGTGAATGAGAGAGATTTACATAAAATTCTTCGAAATACAATATTGTCCCATGACTATAAGCATTATTCTAGCAGTATCTAAATCCGTTTGTTTATTATTACGTATAATATACTTTGTCCGAGTTATTCTAAAATTGTGTAACTTTTATATATTTTTTCTACTGGGCTAAGCGATACTGAAAGATGAAGAAACCCAAGAGAGCTTGTACTTGAATGTCTTAATACTTATAAACACCCTCGCACGATAGTAGAATATTAAATATTAATTTAATACTTCTCAATGTTCTGCGACAAGACACCCAGTATATCCCATAGGAGATGTATC